AAAGACTGATATAATAATCCTAATATGATAATAAACTTTATTTGTGCAGCAGTTTGTTTAAACGTCACAAGTGCACACACGGCCTGCTCGTCAAAGCTACGCCTCCAGAACATATGAGCATTCACTAACAACCGCTATGAGCCAACTTTTCCATGCTAGCATCTGGCTAAGCGATGTATGTTTCTCCAGCTTGTAATGACTGGTCATTGAGAGCGTGGGCTGGGTGCGTGCTTGCAGGTCAGTTAGTGACAGACAGGTACAGCAAATCATTTTATTCAGTCCATTAGTCGTGTTTATTATCGTCCTGCGATAGCCACAGACAGTTTTTTTTATATACCATCATTATGTATTGATGGTACATGAAGAGGATATCAACTAATAAGATACGATGTGTTTAAGAAATAAGTTGCAAACCCAACCTTTACGTTTTTATAGGACCAGGTTATTATGTTTTGAAGTCTGGGAATATGTCTCTTATTGACAAAAACAACGAAAACACTATTTCAACGTGACACAAACACCTTTGATAGAAAATGAAAAAAGGCCACTGACCATGAGGACCAACCGTGTGTAATAATGTGTAAATTGTCGCTAGTTTATGCCACTTTTGCTGCCTGACCCACTTTTTCAGTGTTGTTGTCAACGCACGATCATGTCGCTGCCGGAACAGCAGATGCCACTGTCACTGAATGCACCTACTTGCTCATTCACTAGGACGCTGAACAGTCTTTAACGCAGATGCCTGTGATCCTGTTCCAAATCCATGATTCAGTTTGGGAGATTAGTATTAATTACACCCAGTGACACAATAAATCACACTCACCCAGTCTCAGTATTTAAGTCTTTTTGAGATTTATACCCACAATCATTAATCTGAATTAATATCTCATATTTTAAACGTTTAGTTAGAGTCTTAGGGCTTGTGGGAAAACAGTGTGGGCGGGCATATTGGTGCAAAAGAGCTCACAAAGAGTGTCACAATGACTTTTGGCACAGTTTTTATTTATTAGCCAGGTTCATTAATGCTCTTCGATAGCTGTGTGTGTTTGTGTGTGTATTTTCGGGCGTTGTAATATTAGTCTCTTTCTCTCTCTCCCTCTTTCTCTCTGCCACAGAGGTGTGGAGCTGTCACATTTAAAAGGTCGGAGCAGAATGCCATACAAGTTTGCATGCTGGGTAAGAAGAACACTAACTGACCTGAATACTTGGTGCAGAGGGTTGATTATATATGTAGTCAGCTGGTGGAGGAAGGTTTCCAAATATTTGGTAGCTCAGCTTCAGGTTTTCTCTGACCTTTGACCCAGTGCAATGTCTGTTATCTCTCTACACACTGTCCAGTTCAGTGACTTTAGATTTAAAACTCTGTTAAAGTCCAACTGGTTGAGAATCCTGGAAGGGAAGCTTTTGTTCCCAGTCGTGTTTTTGGAAGTAGTGTTTGGACTGGAGTCAGTAAAAAGTAGCGGTTTATCATAACTACAGTCTTCAGACCTTGAAATGTAGCCAAAACCAGGGACAGTGGAAGTCAGTCAGAGCTGGAGGTGCTGAGAGAAAGTAATGAAATCAAGAAAGCAGTTCAGCACTGTTTTTGTATTAATTTCAATTAATTTCTAACATTATATACCAGTCTTAAAAGAGAGAGCAGAGATGTGGCTTTAGGGCCATTTAAAGACAAATCTAATCCAATGAAATCCCTTTGGTTAACGTTAAATATGTCACGTTTGTGAGTCAGATAAGCTAAACAGAAATTACAATGAATATTTGGGCTGGAGCCTGTGGCGCGCAATTTGTTCGAATATAAATAAAATACTCCCTCCCTGCACATGTCAGATGTTGTTGCTCCGCTTGTCTGTGGCGCCTCGTCCGCTGCCGTGCTCTGGTGGAAATCTAACAGGTGAGCCCACAGATGAAATGGTCCAAAGATGACAAACAGCCTTATTATCGTTACATTGCTGTCTATGGAATAGAACCCAAAGTACTTCCACATGGCACTTCTCAGATGCTTTGTTGTCTTGATTGTCTGCTCAGGACGGCTTTGCTTACTAGCGTCCTCCATTTTGTGGTAAAAACGGTATAATTTCTGACTTTACTTCACATCATGCACAAACACAAACGAGCAGAAATGTGGACACTAACACAAACAGCACAAACACTTGCCAGTTTTTTCTTTAGACAGACCATTTCATTCAGTGGCTGACCCACTTCTCCACTGCGACCTGCCAGAAAACGTGACCAGTGGCATCGATAATGAGAATCGATATAAGAGCACACATAGCAGACAAAATTCACACCCGTCGATTCGGGGAAATGAATACTGTGTACTGTGGTTAACAATAGTGTTCTTTATTCCTACATTTGATTGAGCTCTCAATATCTCTTCATTTTTAGTTTTTCCTTGTTCTTATGTTTGGGTACTGGGTACTACAACCCCTCACTCCAAAAAAAGAACCACTCAAATCATCACGTGTAATATTGTGATGATTTTAATCATAAAGTAGTAACACAAATGTGTAAGAACAACAGATAATACAAGTGGAGCCAGAAGTCTACTGGCTGACCTCCAAGTGCACTTGTCAAAACGCCCACTAACCTCATGGACTCTCAAATTTCTCTCTCTCTCTCTCTCTCTCTCTCCCTCTCTCTCCCTCTCTCTCTCTCTCTCTCATTCTGGGATATAATCACTGTTTCCACGGTTCTCATGCTTTCTTTTCACACAGTTATAAATCTTAGTTATCTTTGTTTCCTGCCATTCTTCTCTTTGCAGCTTTATTCGCATGTTCTTGTAAATTAAAATCACAATATTCAGCCCTGGATGAACTCAATCACCCCCAGTTCCCACTGACTTGATCATTTATTTTAAGGCGCCAACAACAAAGATGGCCATCTTTCCTCATTACACAGTCATACTTATTGATAGCGCTGATAAAGGATCTTTTTAAAACATGATTGTTGGGCTGATTAGAATCAGGATTTGGGACTGAAGATATCAAGTAATAGTCAGAGGTGAAAATCATACAGTACGTGCTGTTCAAAGATTTGAATCATTTCATCATACGATGCGATCATTTTTGAATTGACAACATGTGACAGGAAAGAAAAAGCAAGCAAGAAATTAAGGCGGTGCGTTTGCCATCTACCAAGCCAATTTTTACTCCTTAATAACTCTGTCAAATTTGGCTCTCAAAAATCCATATTGGTCAGGGTCTAATAAGAACGAGTCAGTAATAATGCTTGTCTGTTTGGCCTTTGCCGAGGTTTGTTCCCTACTGAGTGCAATTCTTGTTCTGTCTACAATTGCCTTTTCCATGCAAAGCGCATTAATCATAGAAATCAATAGAAAGTTTGTCCTGTGTATAATTAACATTTCGTAGTTTTCAACCATGTTAAGACTCTTAAAAGTTTCTCTGGTCAACAAGTCGGAAAAAACTTCAGGTTCTTACTGTTGATTTATCAAGAGTCCTTTGTGTCTCATGATGTCACTACACCCTACAGGAAAATATAATATTTTAAACTAAATACCAGCTGCTGATCACAGCGACAGCAAAGCAGCTGTACACTGAGTACATTTTCACGGTGCATTTTCACCCTGCTATATATTTCCTCAGTGTCTGCCTCCCACAGTTTCCCACAGTCTCTATCTTTTATCTTCTCGCTCTTTGTCTCGTGATTTCTCACCATCGTCTTCTTGTGTCTGATATGTGACATTCAAGGCTGTGTGTGTGTGTGTGTGTGTGTGTGTTTACATGAAACATGCATTATGTGTGTGTTGGTACTTTTGTCAGCATGTGACTGTTCCTCTGGGGGAACATTTCAGTGGAAAAATAATGTGATGGTTCCATCCTCTATGATTACACACAGATCTACTTACCCTCGCTGAATTGTAGTAGAATAATTGATGTCTTGTTTTCAGCAGCCACAGGAAAGCCTTTGAGTCACTAGCATTTTGAGGAAGAAAGAAAAAGAGGTTTCACTCCCAAACGAATTTTGAGTCCTGTGCAGTCCGGCTGTGTGTCTCCTGATGGAGGTAATTTCATACCCAGATAACCTTCCTGATACCGATTCAGTATCATGTACTTTAACAGCTGTCTGCTACTAACCCTGTATGGAAGTGATTTCTATCGTATGGCTTTGTGTTAAAGACTTTTAAAATCAATTGCATACTGAATGTCATAAAATGAATGTCACAGAACGAAAGTCTAGCATATGACACATGTCGCTGTTTTACTTGTGGGACTTTCCAGTGTGAAATGCTGCTGTTAAAACAGTACTTGCCAGCGGCAGTTCAATGCAATTACTGTTTTGGAGTGGCAAAGCAGAAGGGCTCTTTCAGAAAGGATGCAACAGCATCAACTTTTCCGTGTTATGTGCCATGTGCCAGATCGGTACATAGCTTTGTGTACTCATCGATACCTGACCTGGCATTTTCAGTAACATAAAAGACAGAAAACCATACAAATCTTAACTTGATTAAGATTAAGATTAAGATTCCTCTTTATTTCAACAGCCTTGGTGTTTTCTTAGATATTCCCTCTTCAAATCCCTTTGTTCTGCTTGTATCCTCTGAAATATTAGTTGTGTTTAAGCCCAAGGGGGCGTAGTTAGTCATCTGAACAAATAAATCAAAACAATCTGCTTCTATTCCAGGGTGTCCTTAATGAAGACTGATTCAAACTGAGCACCTCGTTTTACCTTCAAGCACAACAACTTCATTCTTTTGTTCTCACAGAGTGGGCTTGTTTTCATCACAGGTCAAATAAACTATGCACGAATAATACAATTAGAAACAATAAGTGGATTAACACTATTAGCATTTATGATTTTAAAGACAAATTAAGTAGTAAGGCCCTCACCTTGACTCTTTTGCATTTTGATTGACATCTTTCCATCTTTCTCTATTTTCAATAGACTGAATGTTGAATTCTCTATATATTGTCACAGAAATTCATGGTGTGTGTGTGTGTGTGTGCGTGCGTGTGCGTGCGTGTGCATGTGTGTTTGTTCACCTCACACAGCCCCGTTCCCGCTGACCTGACCGTGAGACAGAGGATGCGTCTGTGAACCCAAAGCCCCGTGAACGCTTGCTCAAATGCTTTCAGTCTGTTGTTGGTTGGGGTAGCACAGTGAGAGAGAGGGAGAGAGAGGGAGAGAGAGAGAGAGAGAGAAAGAGAGAGAGAGAGAGAGAGAGAGAGTTGGTGAGCTCAGAGCGGGGATGGGGGGAGGAGGGGCACTCAGACTCCACAACAACGCCAGCGAGAGTGAGACTGTTGAGGGGAGAGAGAATGCGGCAGAAGGAGCGAGCAGACTGTCAGTGGCCAACTCTGGGAGACAGGGATACAGACGGATTCACTCCTCTTCCTTTCTGGCTTCTCCCTGCTTTGTGTTTTTTGTTTCATTGCTTTTATCACTCTGAACACCTTTGCTCTCAGTCTTTCTCTTCCTCTATTCTACCAGCTGCTGATTCCCTCTCTCCTTGCAGTCTTTATTCCTCTGTCCTACATCCAGACTTGATGCTGTCTTCTCTCACTCCTCTTTCTCGCCTATGACTACCTGACAGGGAGCTTCCATTTCTGTCTTCTCTTCCTGTTTATCTTTCCCTCCATTCTCCTTTTTCTTTCTTGTTTTATTTTCTTTGCACTTGCCCGTGATCCATCTGACTTTGTGTGCTCTGAGGATGCCAGTGTTAGAGGGGCTCTGGGGCCCAGATCTTAGGATGCGAGACTCTGGTCTTGGCGTTGGGGTCGATGTCGGGGTCTGTCCGGATGAAGATTCCAGCTCGCCAGTGTGGGGTCCTCTCAGGACTCCTCCGGTCACCTGTGGGGGCCTGTCGCTGGCCCTGGAACTTCCCGCTCTCATACGGCAGCTCAGGGCGGCCTGGAGGGCACGCAGGGGAGGCCCGCGGGGGTCAGAGAGGAGCGAGGCCAGCTCTTGGGTGGAGGCAGATAAGGAGGAAGAGACAGAGGAGGTGAAGCAGGATGTAGAGGACACGAGCACACACATGGAAGGTAACTGGCACATAATACATGTTGAGTACACATACATGTAGAGTAAAGCTTATGGGAGTAAAATGTCTGATACATTTTTAATGTGTGTGTTTGTTATTTATTTCACTTTGACTTAACAGCTTTGTTTGCTGCATGAAAACATATTTATGGCAGAAAGCAGAGAGAGAGTGTGTGTGTGTGTGTGTGTGTGAGAGAGCGTGCGCGCAATTGTTCACTGTTTTTGGGAACATTTTGTGCCGTATTTGTTGTTCAGTTGTCTCTTGAAAGCTTTTGAGAGACCACCTTTAAGTGTCTGACCTTGCTTTGTTGTGTTCTTGTTCTTGTGCATCTGTTTTTGCCTTTGAATACGTGACTTTTTCTCAGGAGTCATAGTAACAAATTTGTGCGTTTGGGACAGATTATCTTTGACCAGCGCATCTCCGACCGTACGTGCAGTTTATTTTGTAAGCGATGGTGGTCGGGCCGTCGCAGCCCTGAGAAGTTCAGACAGTTGGGTCAGGGTAGATGGTGAGATGAGGGATTTGGGCCGTAAAAAAAGAGTGTGTCCATTTAAATAAAGCTGTGTAATTATCTGCTGAGCTGCAGCTGCACTCTTGACACTGACATGACGCCATCAGTCGACCCCCTGTCCGTCTGTCGGGAGCATAACACCGATGACGCAAAGTAACATTGTTGACAGTTTGGCATGAAAGTGAAGTAGGGACGCTATGATGAAAAAAAATGTCTGATACATTCATATCATTATCACTGTTAATATAAGAATGATACAAGGACTGACTGACAACTGGTTGTTGATCATCTCATTTAGTGATTTCAGTATTTGAGTTTCATATTCACTTAACCAACTGACCCAAAAAAAAGAAGCAAGGTACTAGGTGATTCTTTGATGTGCCTTTGAAGAAATGATCCTTACTGTCAAGAATTGTGTGCATGTATTGACTCATCAGGGGGAAAATGGACAATCATATGCTGATGTCACTGCCTGTGACTTTCCCCTTGAATCATGATGATCTCATTCATTTGACGTCTCTTCACAGAAGGTGAAAGTCTGTCTGCTCGATAATTGATTTCACTCTTAAGATCAGAGAGATGCGTTGTCTGTGGTGATAGTGAATCATTCTTACATGTAGACTGAGAAGATCTGCATTATTAGCATATATACTTCTGAATAAAAGTAGAGGTAAGAGAGATTAAAAAAATACACAACTGGCAGTTTCAGTGTTCTGCATTTTACTCTACACTACAAACAGAACAAGCTCTTCATTGCCTAAAATGTATTCATTTCTTTTTGACATTCGGATATTGGTCATAACAAAGCAATGGGATAGGGAGCTCTTTAGGGCCACCAATTAATTAGATTTAATAATTTATTAAAACTATTTTTGAAGCTTAAATGCCAAACAGTTCACAGGTTCCAGCTTTAGGATTCGATGATATTACACAGATGTTTGGATTTGGGGTTGCTGATTGGTCTGATGTGGATCCGCACCACAATTTAATGAGTTTGTTTCTGACCTGTAACACATCCTTCCCCCAAATTGTGTGGAAATCTGTAGTTTCTGTGTAATCCCTCTACATATACAATACAACAATCAAACAACTCAGATGAAAATATAACCTCCTTGGTGAAGGTACTAAATCAATTCAGGTCACACAACAAAATATATGAAACAACATTTTATCTATATATTATATTATATATTTCCCCATTACAGATCCAAAACATGGACTTTTAGAAAGTCAGTGAACAAATTATTGAAGCTGGTCTTCTAATCAACATACGTGCAGGCGTTACATCTGATTGTCCATCACTAGGATTACATATGATTTTAATGCAAACACACAGAGAGAGAGAACCTGTCAGCTCTGCCAGTGAGTAGACTGTATCTGGAGATTCCAGACAGCTGGATGCACTGTATGTTTTCATGTATCCAGATAAAGCAGCAGCTGCAGGCAGCAGAAAACATCATCTGCCACTGTGAGTTTAAAACATTTTTGTATTCGAGTGATGGCGCTACATATGGCAGCGACGTGTCCAACCGTTTCTTTCTGAGAAGGAAAACAGCAGCAAAGCCCAATTTGTGCCGTAAACACCCAAAGATTCAGTGAAGCTGTGTGTGTGTGTGTGTGTGTGTGTGTCTGTGTGTCTGTGTGCCAAGTGTGCGATCGTGTTTTCGCATTTGGAATCAGGGATTTAGGCTCATTTGCAAGTGTGTCTGTGTGGGTGTGTGTCTGTGTGTGAGTGCAAGTACACAGAGAGGTGCCTGTGCATCACCGCGTCTTTAAACACTCTTTAACTGATTCATGTTTTCATCCTAAATGACCCAGTTCTGCTCAGCGTGGAGACAAT